GGAGGGACTCACGTCAGAGGAAGTTTGTGGAGGACTGTCTCCTGTGAGAGGGGAACGACAATGGAGCAGGGGAAGAAGTTCCAGAAACTTCCCCCACCAAAGATGAAAGAAGTGGCAGCACTGACTGCACCCCCCATTCCCTGCCCCTGCGCTGCTGACAGGAAGAGGTAGAGATATCAGGAGCAGATCTGAGCCCGGGAAGAAGAGAGGGGTGGGGGGAAGGTGTTCTCGAGATGTGGCAATGCTTCTCACTGTCCTACTCTGTTAAGTGTTGTTGCTAGTGTCTGTAATAAATGTATGTTCTTTTCTTCTTCCCCCAACGAGTCTGCCTTTTGCTCGTGACCATAAGAGGTGATCTGCCCCTCCTGCTCCTATCTCAAATTCCAAGCCGGGCTCATTTGTCCCTTCTCATTGCTGGAACAGAAGGGAGGAATGAGCGGCTGCGTGGTGTTGGTGTTATTAACACACTCTCTCTTAGAAATAACTGATCTTTACTGTGAATACTGAAAACAGTCTATAATGGAAGTTTATACTGTAATCAGATCTCTTTTTCACCAGAACAGATAAATCCATCATAGTATTTTATTATAATTTAAAATGAAAACTAATACCTGGTAAAGGCACAAACACATTTGCACATCAGAATGAATATTCTGTGTCTCTCCAAGTGGCATGTAATATATCAAGAACCATCGTATGCTAATTATGTCTCATTTGTGGTTCAGAAAGGCAATACATATACTGAATATAGTAATGGTTTTGTTTAAGCAACTGTTAAGAGTTGTATGACTTCAAAAGGAATTATAATTATTTAAGACCACTTGGAGGATTTACCTTCATATTCATTGTATTTTATAGGTTCTGTGACTGCAGAACACTTTAGATTTAGTAGATACAAAAAGGTGAAGAATAAGTACGTTTATCTTTAAACTTCAGTTCCTGCTGAAATTGTAAATGACTTTTAAATGAGGTATTCTGAGCACAGGAACAGTTATTTCAGATACAGAGCCTCCAACTGGAACACACGACTGAAGGACAATATTGTATCATAAACGCACCTTGGTTCTGAAATTACTTTGAGGCAGCCTGCCTGTTTTATCACCTCACATTTCATTTGCCAAGATGAAGTTACTGTATTCATAAAACTGTGTTTATGTTCAAAGTAACTAATTCTAATTCACATATATTTTCATGAAATCTGAGTTCAAAATAAGGCTAAACTTTTAATTTCTTATTATTTTTTGGCTACACTGGAAAGAGTTTTCAGGGCCAAAGACTCAGGATACCTGCTTCCTTAGCTGTTGTTTTCCGGTGAGCTGCAGAAACAGACTTTCAGAAGACTTTACATATATTTTAAATGTATTTGCAACTGTTAGCATACTGTGTAAACTACACAGTTCAAATTTCAGCCTTAGGTACACGTAGAGAAATGTGGGTATCTGGAAGGCATTCCATATTCCTCCTATCTTCTCCTACCTTGACCCCTATTTTTGTAATTTTTGGTGCTTTTAGGCTTAATACCACAGCAGCCTTGTGATTCTAAGCATGATAGCAAAAGACATCACAATTAAATGCTTAGACTAATCCCATTTTCCCCCTTTCCCTTGTGCCAATGCTACTTCACAGATTCTTTGTTCCAGCAGTGGCTGGGGGGTCCCTGTAATACCCTTTTTCCAGCAAAGGGCTATGGCACAATAGAACAGATGTGCTGAGTGTGGGCTTATAGGAGATGGGGGTGTCCTGGCAGGGCACATGTGAGAGAGGAGGTTGTGAAGATGGAGAGTTCTACATCACAGGATGATACTGGAAAAGGAGGTGGCTCCAATGCCAAATAATCTTTGAAATTGTGCCGACAGAAGTTCTTTTCTTCCCCACAGGCTCACCTTTGTTGAAGAACAGATGGTTAGAAAGATTGAAAAAAAAAAAAAAATGGGGGGGGGGGCTTTCTTTTTTGTTTCTGAATGTCTCCCTTCCCTTTTCTCACCTACGTATTCTACACTTCTTTCTTCCACACCTTCTCACCTCCTTCCCCCCAACTTGCTTCTCCCTTCAGCCTTCCCTTAAATCCTGTACTATCCTACTTCTGTCACACTTTAATTTTTCCTCTTTCAAAGAATCACTTAGATTGGAAAAGACCCTTAAGATCATTGCATCCAACCATTAATGTAACACTGCCAAGTCTACCACCAAACCATGTCTACGCATCTTCTAAATACCTCCAGGGATGATGACTCAACCACTACCCTGGCCAGTGTGTTCCAAGGCTTGACAGCCCTGTCGGCGAAGAAATTTCTCCTAATATCTAATCTAAACCTCCTGTGGATCAAGTTGAGGCCATTATAGCTTGTTACTTGAGAGAAAGAGACCAACACCCACCTGGGCACACTGCCGGCTCATATTCAGCCCGCTGTAGACCAACATTCCCAGGTCCTTTGCTGCCGGGCAGCTTTCCAGCCACTCTTCCCCAAGCCTGTAGCATTGCTTGGGGTTGTTGTGACCCAAGTGCAGGACCCGGCACTTGGCTTTGTTGAACTTCATACAAATGGCTGTTGTGGTTTAGGCCTGATTGGCAGCCAACCACAATGCAGCACCTCTCTCTCCCTTCCCCTCCGGCAATGAGAAGGGACAGAGAGCCAGGCTTGGGGTTCAAGATAGGACTGGGATGGGGAAAAATCCCCCTTTTCTGATCACGAGCAAAAGGCAGACTCGTTAGGGGAAGAAAAAAAAAGAACATACATTTATTACAGACACTAACAACACATAACAGAGTAGGACAGTGAGAAGCATTGCCACGTCTTGAGAACACCTTCCCCCCACCCCTCCCTTCTTCCCAGGCTCAGTTCTGCTCCCGATATCTCTACGTCCTCCCCCAGTGGCGCAGGGGCAGGGAATGGGGGGTGCAGTCAGCGCTGCCACTTCCTTCATCTTCGGTGAGGGAGAGTGTCCGGAACTTGTTCCTCCTGCTCCATCGTGGTCCCCCTCTCACAGGAGACAGTCCTCCACAAACTTTTTCTGACTTAAATTCCTCCCATGGGCCGCAGCGTTCCCCACACTGCTCCATCATGGGTCACTAACTTCTTCCGACTGGATTCTCTCCCACGGCTGCAGCCCTTCCCAAGCTGCTCTGGCGTGGGACTCCCCCGCAAGCTGCAATCCTCCCAGCGCTGAATTACAGCAGCGGGGCTACCTTTTCCCATGAGACCCCGGCCTTCTTCGGGCACAGAGCCTTGATCAGCCGAGCAGGAACACAAATCAATGTCTGCTCCACCGTAGATCTTCATGGGTGGCGGTGGGGGGGCCGCCCTGCCGTCTCACCACAGGATACAGGGGGGTCTCTGCTCCGGCACACCTCCCCCCTCCTTTCTTCCTCCGTTCCTCCACTGACCTTGGTGTTCATGCAGCTGCAGCAACTCCTCCTCACAAGTCCCCCTGCACGTCACCACGTCCCTTCTTAAATACGTTATCGCAGAGGCGCAGCCGATTGGCTCAATTTCCCAAACAGAAGTGGAGCTGACGTGGAGCTGGGGGAGCTTCGAGAAGCTTCTCACAGGGGGCCGCCCCGATAGCCCCCTCCCCTACCACCAAAAAACTCCACCACTCACTCAACCCAGGACATGGCCTCAGCCCATTGATCCAGTCTGCCCAGATCCCTCTGTAGAGCCTTTCTACCCTCAAGGAGATCAACACTCCCACCCAACTTGGTGCTGTCTGCAAACTTATGGAGGGTGCACTTGATCCCCTTGTCCAGACCACTGATGAAGATACTAAACAGTGCTGACCCCAATACTTAGACCTGGGGAACACCACTTGTGACCAGCTGCCAACTGGATTAAACTCCGCTCACCACTCTTTCAACCTGGCCATCCCGACAGTTTTCTACCCAGCAAAGAGTATGCCCGTCCAAGCCACAGGCAATTGGTTTCCCCAGGAGAATGCTGTGGTAAATGGTGTCAAAGGCTTTACTAAAGTCCAGGTAAAGAACATCCACAGCCTTTCCCTCATCCACTATGTAAGTTGCCTTGTCATAGAAGATCAAGTTAGCCAAGCAGAACCTGTCTTTCATAAACCTGTAAAACCAGTCTTTCAGACTGGGCCTGATCACCTGGCTGTCCTGTTTGATGGCATTCCAAATGATCTGCTCCTATCTCACGAAACTTGAGGCAGTTTCCTCTTGTCTCATACTCATTACTTGGGAGACCAACACCCACCTCACTACAATCTCCTTCCAGGTAGTTGTAGAGCAGTAAGGTCTCCCCTGAGCCTCCTTTTCTCCAGACTAAACAAACACACCTCTCAGCTACTTCTCATAGGACTTGTTCTCTAGACCTGTTGCCAACTTTGTTGCTCTTCTTTGGAGACATTCCAGCACCTTGATGTCTTTGTTGTAGTGAGGGGCCCAAAATTGAACACAGTATTCAAGGTGCAGCCTCAACAGTGCTGAGTACTGGGGGACAATCACTTCCCTAGTCCTGCTGGCCACACTATTTCTGATAGAAGCCAGGATGCTTTTGGCCTTCTTGGCCACCTGGGCACACTGCTGGCTCATATTCAGCCAGCTGTGCTCCCCTCTGACCTGGTGCTTGCAGGTTCCTCACGCCCATTCCCCAGAACAACTCCTGTACTTTCCAGAGACTCTTTTTTCCAACCTGCCTCCCTAAGACACCCCACCCCACCGCCCCCAACCCACAGCATGACGGCAGGCAGCCTGTTTTGGGGCTGGCAGGGAGCATGGCTCCCCCACACCATAGGGCGGTTGGGAAGGGAAGGCCTCCCTTCGAGCGCAGCGGTGCCTGTGGAGCCAGCCATGCAGCCCTGCGCCCCAGGGGCAGCGGAGCTGCGGCTCGGCCGCCGGAACAAGGGCAGACCCCGGGAGCTGCCCCCGCCGCACCGGCCGCTACTTTCCCGCCAACACCCCTGGCCCGGCGGCCGCACTGCGCCTGCGCCATGGGCTAGCGGCGGCGGGGGAGGGGGGGGGGGAGAACAGGCCGCCCACACGCACACAGCCTTCCCGCGGGGTGTGACGCCACACCGCGCCGTCGCCGTGACGTCGCGGGGGCGTGACGCAGACACGCAGAGGGGCGCGTTTGTAAGTTCCCTTCCCCCCGTGGCGGTGGGGGCCGCGACTCGGGCGGGCGGGCGGGCAACGGCGGGGATGGCCTTGGGGCGCGGCTGCGCCCGCGCCCGCTCCCTCCCCTACGGGCCAAGGCGCTGGCGACCGGGAAGTAGGAGGCAGCGGCTCCCGGCGGCAGCGCCGTGCGGAGGTGGGCGCCTGCTCCGGCCCGGCGCTCGGCGAGCCCGGGGCGTGCTTCGCTGGGCCCTTGGCTCGCCCGGTCGCGGGGAGGGGTTGCCGAGCCCGGCGGTTCAGCCGTGCCTCCGGCCGGCGGAGGGGAGGGCCCGCCCGCCTGCCTCCCCCCGCCGCAGCCCGGACGCGGCGGTGCGCGGCCTGCGGGGCGGGCGCGGCGCGGGGGCAGCCGGCGGACCTCCTGCCTCGGGTGGTGCCTGCCCGCTGCCAGCACGGGAGACGCCAACGGGTGTGACTGCAACGATCGGGTGTGATGTTACAATAAAGATCTGCAGAAAGGTTTCTGCAAAGTCGGAGAAGTTACTAAAGCGGTTCACTTACAGTTTTTTTTTTTTTTTTTTTTTTTTAAGTACACGTGGCCATAAAATGCTGTGTAGGCGAGGGATGGCTGTAGATGCCCTCAGGTTTTGTGACGTTGAGACGTGGAAACGTTTGGCTCCTGTGAAATCCCCTTGCCAGCGTGAGTCAGAGCTCTACGCGGAGCTCTGGACGCTTAGACCTGAGCGTTGTTTCGTAAACCTTGCTGCTGCTTCCATAAAAGTACAAATACTACATGCAGTCCTCTCGGGTGCCTTGTTTTGGAAGGAACCTGAGGCCCCAAGGGTTTTCGTTTGTTTGGTGATTGCAGCAATGGATGCAATTAATGGGTGTGGTGGTGGTACTTAACTGGTGCTGAGGCCTGCGTGCTTATGAATCCATCAGAACTTTTTATATTGGTCATACAGAAATGGTATATCCCAAGTTCTTAGTCATCTGATATGGCTCGTATGGATAAAATAAGGAGGGAAGTGTTTGAAAGCAGCAGAAGAGTCTTTGAAAGTCTGCAGTAATGTCTGCAATGTGGTGGATTTGAAACTGAGAGATTGGCTTGTTTACATTTCTTACGTCCGAAAGCCATGCATTGTTAAAAGACATAACTAGTTAGATACCTGAAGTAAAATTGGTGTGATACATCTTACTTTTTATTGGCAGTCTTTTGCTCCTCAATTCATACTGCCTTGTGCTCAGTTCCTTTCTTTTTCTCCATGTTAACTATATCTTGTTGAAGCTTTTCAATGTGTGTTGAAGTTTCAGTCAACAGTCAAGCCCTTAAATGCTGTGTAGTTTAGCTGGCTTAGTTTAGAAATTAGTCTTGAATTTGCTTGTACTGATTTAATTGAACCTATAATATGCAATTAAAAATGATCTTTCATATTATTCCATAATAAGGAAAGAGGAGGATAGCATAAGGTAAATGCATAGCTCCTTTGGATCACGGTAGTTTTTGCATTTTTTTGTATTTTCACAGGGCCATTCAGCAACCAAAATACTGATCTGCTCTTTTTTTTTTTTTTCCATCCTTTTTTCTTGTTTCTAACCTTATTGTAGCTAATTATTTTCAGTACTAGTTTAAGTTGTTTTTTTTTTTTTTTTAAGTTATTTTTATGCAAAGCAAAATACACATTTCAGGGATGCGTGTGTATTTTTTTCTGCTTCAGTAGTTAGAAGAATTTGATTTTTTCAGACTTAAAGTTTGTCAAAAATCAGAAAGGAAAAGGAAGGAAAAAAGCTTATGACAGTTACGGTATATGCTTAAAATATTTTTTGTGATCATCTGATATAATGTTCTTAGTGTTTAGAAAAGTATTCTTGGGAATGGTAATGAATATCAAAAGAAAACTAGCACTATGGAATGGTTCAAATATTTTTTAACTTCTGTTAAAATAGTAAGGCAGGCTGTTAAAGTAATAGCTTTTAAGATAACTAGAATTTTATAATTGTTTTTCAAAGCATTCATGAAGGAAATACAAGTTTCCTATATATCTACATCTCATTTGTCAGAATATCAGAACTAGCAAGGACAGTGACAGCATATGATGAGGGTTTTTGTGTCTTTCCCACATAAAGCTTTAGATATATGTAGTGATTGTCATACATACATGTTTTTGATGTACAGGTTCAATGATTATGCCGCATTAGATGGAAGGAGTGTTCTTCATCTGTGACTTGGGGTGTTCCAAGGATTTTTATGTGCAGAGGTAATATCTTATTTATGGAAGTGGTTTAAATGTCTATATGAAACTGATGGTGGTTTCGTGTATGTTTTTGCACCTACTGAGGTAGATATTGTCAGGTTAAAGTGAAATGGTCAAATGGTGAAAGTACAGCTTTGATCTGAAGTTGGCTGAAAATATTACTGCGGTTAAAATTATAGAAACTTACAAAGTTTTAGAAGTATGTGGTCAAATCAGGGATGTGTGAACTTTATCAGTTATTTTAGCAATGTCTATTCAAATATTTATTATTGCAGTTTCTAATATGAAGCACTGTTAATGTATGGTAAGCCTCAGAGGTGATGCCATTGTGTTGAGAGTAAACAAATTTTAATAGAATTCTTGTTTATCTGCGATTTTCAAAAATGTGTGCCTGTTTTTTATTTAATGTGATTTTCTATCGTTTGCTAAATACATTTCCTGAAATATTGGGACTTTGTTTTTTGTTTTCCTTGAAATAGGAATTGAGATGGATGAAATATTTTACTGGCCATAGCAGCAGCAGGATGTATAAGGTAGGTATGTTGAAAGAATATGGTTAATATCCTTGCAGAATATTCTAATATTCTGTGTCTCTGAACACAGAGAAATGACATATAGTAAGCTGCAGTTCTTTCCACCGGTAGATGTAGGTAGCTTTTGATTGTGGTAAGCTGCTACATGTTTAGCACAGGTTACATGAGTAGATGCAGACAGCCTTAGGTACCTGATACATTTTATTTTTGCATCCTTTAATGGAAATTTTTCAATGTGTCCTTTCCCTAAGGTTTGTATGTTTTTCCTTTTGTACAACTGGACTGAGAAAATACCACAAAGTGTTTTGAAATCTTGTTTTCACTGTTCTGGTTAAATGTGATCAAGGAAGAAAAAGTTTTGGTCACTATTTATGTACCTCCCTTCTTACATAGACAATTTTTGTCTCTGTTGTTGAGTTGCTGTTTGTTGGTTGGTTTGTTTTTTTAATTCTTTAATGTCATTGAGGGTGTACTCCCAGTGAAACAAATTGTTTTCAGAATTTCCATAAAAGTTATTAGTGGTTCAGCAGCAGTAAGATGCTTTGATGCTCATCTTCATCTGCTGTCAAGTTAAGATTTTGTTGTTATTTGTTTAGACTTAATGCTTCAAGTTTATAATTATAATTCAGCTACAGAAATCCAGAACATGTTTTTACTTAAAAAGATTTTCTTAAACAAAATTCAAAACATGAACATATATTTTTAAGACTAACACTGGCAAATAAGAGAACACTGATGCTTGAATCATAGTTGAGCACTTTCTCATGAAGTATATTTGTATGTTGTTATCAAAGTTGAATGAAATGCAAACTTCACAGTGTAACAATTAAAAATAAAATATATGATATAGTTCTTTAATGATTTTTTTTTTAAATTAACTTTGAAAATAAAAAGTTGTGATAATTTTTTTATTCCATTCTTTCTCTTGCTGGTATAACAAAGAAGAAATGGCATTGGGAGAATGTTGTGTTCTTTGTATTGTATTTGTTCTGTATTACTACTGGTCTTGTCACCCTTCATGAAAACACACAGAGCAGCTGGGTAGAAATCATCCTATTCTTCATATGATATTTGCTAGTTAAATGTGTCTTTGACTTTTTATAGTACTGTATTTGCAGGTATTAGTTTTAAGGTATTTTGATTACATTTTTGATATTAATAAGGAAGAATTACCAGATTAAGATGTATTGCCCTACAAACCATAATAATGTTTCCTACAACTTTTAATTATACTATAAATACCCATGAAATCAGCCCTTTAAAAAAAATAATACTTGAATACTACTTACACTAGGTTTAATCAGCTTATTAAGGACAAACTAACCGTGGTAGAACTGTACTGTGTATTGAGCATATGAAAGTGCATAACTTAGAGAGACTATGTTTGGTTTGTCACTTCAGTCTTTTACCATTTTAGGAAAGAGCTATTTCCTCACCTAAACTGTGAACTATTCTTTGCATCATTGGTTCTTGCTTGCATCTTTTTTTCAGTACTGAAAGCCTTGCCTGAAGGGAGACTAGCTGATATCCTTATGCCAGAACAGGCTACTTTCAGTATACTTTCAACTGTTGCGCAAATGGAAAGGAAAGAATGTAATATGTAGCTTGATGCATCTTCCAGAGTTGTAATGCATTGCGATCAATTAATTTGTGGGTAAGGTTAAAAAAAAAACAAAAACAAAACCCCCTTTTTTTTTGTAGGATGATGAGGGTTTTTTTCATGGGATCATATAAAGCATAAAATTAAAAGATACATATGTTCATTACACAATACTACATAAAGTGCATTTAGAGGCTGCTGTAGGATATTAATTTATGTGTATGTGTCCTGTAGTTTCATTCTATGGCTTAGCCCTTTATTGTTTTTCAGAAAGTCTAAGCCCAAGGTTGGTGGTTTAGAAAAAGCATTATGGTTAACGCCAAGAAGGGGTCATGTGCTGAGATGAGCTTAAGAGCTGGATTATCCCAGCCCTGCTGAAATGCCTCTGTCCCAGCAAGCCACTGGGGAGGCAGGGAGGTAGGAGTATTGTGGCTTGCTTGGGTATTTTCCAGGAGAAGCAGGTACAAAAGAGATGGAAAAGCAGCTTGTAAAACTTCTTTGATTCAAGTAGGTATAGGAGTTGTAGGGGAAAAAAAAACACTCCTGGGAGACTTACTAGGACCTATCTGTGAAATTGGTTTGGGATATTAGGTGGCTTCTGAGTTCTAGTTTCATGGAGAATTTTTGCTGTTTGAGTTTGGCTGACAGATCAGTCAGAGCAACTTTTCCATACTCAGTCTTCCATATGAAGCCTTATGTTATGACTAACTGAAGGTTGAAATTGTAGGAAGTATTTAATGGTTATACCTGACCCAAAAGCAGAGACCAAACCAAACAAACTCTTAAAGGTGTGTTGTTTTAATTTTTGCTGCTTAGACTGATGCAATTTCTGTTGTACCCGTGCTTCTTCACCACTTTACTTACATATATGTTTGTGGTTCTTTTGGGTGAACCATAGAAAATAGGGATGTTCTGTTAATGATTTGTGTGGTTTTGAACACAACTCAGTCTTCTGCGTCTCACTGATTTTAAAACAGTAACGATACAAAACTTCTGGTGGGTTTTTTGGCCATCCTTGACTGGTTAGCCTCCCTAAGTGAGCTTACAGTCTGCTAGTTTTCTTTGAGTACCTGAAACCTGATTCATATCAGGCTGCTGTTTCAATGAGGTAGTGCTCCATACACCAGGACATGAGCTTCTGACAGTTCTTGGTCTTGTTTAGCTCAGTCAAGCCAGAACAGGTGGTGAAGAAATAAGGTAGATCCATGTTTCAGGAAGCAAGGCAGTAAAGTTTAAATATTGTCATTCAGTCACTGCTAATTATATGCATTGTACTGAAGGTAAAAGCATAAGAACCCCCAAAATATGTTAGGAAATCCAAAAGGATCAGTCTATGAAAATGTGCATAGTTCTGTTGTGTATATGTGTGCTCTGTGTATGATGAATCAAGCACTTTGAACTTATCAGTCTACTAGTAAAATGTCCTAAATTAATAATACGAGGTTTATTGCTTTTGTCATCAGAACATATTGAGGTTTTACTGAAGAAGGAAAACAGATTGGTATTGGATTTAGAAAGAAGGGACTGTTCTGTATTACAGGACTGAAACTGAGACCACCCAAATGCCTTCAGCTGGGTTTTGTTATTTTCACAAATAGTTTGTTTTTTTAGCAGAGTGTTTAAGAACAGAGAGTTTGGTCACTCACTGTATGTTTTTCCCTGAATGGCAATATTAAACAAACTTTACAATACTGTTTGTGATTGAGGAAAAAAAAAATCTTAGACTTTGGATTCTCTTGGGTTTTTTTAGCTTCCAGAGAAAAATAATGATAGGCAGTTGTGATTTCAGACCTTCAAATGTACCTTTTATTTGGAAACTTGTCTAGTTTTGTCTGGGCATGTACTCCTTAAGGGTCAACATATCTGTCATATTTTATGATCTTTTAGTAAGCTAATTTAGGGATGTTGTATGTTTTCCATAGGTCTTGTAGGCTGAGATGTAGAATGTTGTTGTCTTCCATATACATGTGTGTTGTATTTTCTATTGAAGTCTTAATTTTTTCAAAGGCCAGGTCTGATGTATTACATTACAGACTTGTTCTTGCACTGGAGCATAGCTGGTGCCTCATTGAAGGTCTAAAGGTGAAAAGCCCACATATCTGCAGATTAGGGCAGCTACCTTTGCTTAGTCTGTGTTTATGTTCTCTTGTAAACCAGTGATTTTTCCTTCTGGGAAGATATCCTGATGAGCATATGACAAAGATTTGCAGACTGTAACAGATGAGATATGAGGAAGAAATTATGCTGAAGGACAAAAAAGCAAAAACTACCTGGCCCAAAATGGTAAGTCTTTACATGTTCATAGTGTCACATACTCAGAGTAGGGGACTGTGTGTTCAGAATCTTGTTTCTGAGAGCTCTGTTAACTTCTGATATCTGTGTTTATATTTGCAATCAGACTAAACAAAGTGTGATGGAGAATAGCATGGGGAATAAAATGCTGCGGTAAAAATCATTATCTTACTGTCATATGGCATGGCATGCCATCACAGTGTATGTGGTGCTGGATGCCACCTCTAAAAAGGAAGGTTCAGAGGAGAGAAGATTCAGATAAAAGTCTAAAAGAGTGATCTACAGGAATAGAAATTTGCTTGTATAAAGAGAAATTTTAAAAGTTAGATTGTTTAGCCTTTGAAAGGCAATGAATATGATTAAGTATAACACAAGTACACAGAATGATGAATGATTTGAGACAAGTAATTCAAGAGCTTTTATTGTATTGCTTTATGCTAGAGGAGTAAGGGGACATTCTGTGGAATTAGGGTGGCAAATTGAGAAAGGAAACTTGAGAAAGGATATATTTCCTAATAAATTGATAAGACAGTGAGCTTTGCAGTCTAGGGATAATTTTAATTTAGGAAAATTCTAATATACATTAGATAATTAAGAGTGCAAGAATATTTACACAGGCTCAGGTTACCTTTTTTCCTGAAAACATAATCCCTCAGTTTTTTGTCATTTAGAAGGTAATTTTTTCTATCATGATTATTAATAAAGCTTATCTAGAAACTGTGTATTGATAGTGAGAGTAAATAATTAAGTTTGTCCCTAGTTTGTTTACAAAGGTTGTAGCATCTCACTAATTTGTTTACTTTCTATCCCAGTGTTAGTTTGTATCTAGGTGTGAAATACCCACTAGGTACTATGTCTAGTTCTCTTGTTAGTATCCACTGATTTACTTTGTTTTTCTTGCAAGTGGGGACATTGAGGAAGAAGTTTTGGGGAATAACATCAGAGTCCTCGTCAACTTGAAGAGAAATTATGTAGGGCAGTTGTTTTTGTGACTTGCCACTAGTGAGACACTGTTCTGTTCAGCTTCGATTTTTCTGTTGCCTGGGCTCATGCGTTAAGTTGGTGTTCCTGAAGTAATTTAATCCAAGTCAGTACACAAGTTTGTTCTGTACCTAGAGTGAGGGAATATTTAGGGAGGGTGAGATGAGCTAATGCTGGCCCTTTATGTCATCCAGCCAACTTCAAGCAAGTATGTAAAAAGTCATAAAAAATAGCAGTGGGGGTATCGTAATTAAATGAGCATGCTTGTCGCTCTGCCAGTCTTCTCTTTTGGCATGGTTCAAGTCCTAGAAACCGTGTTTGCTTTCAGTCTCTATCAAACTCAAATACAAAACTCTGTGATAAAAGCATCAAAAGCAGTGTTCAGCAGGAAAAGACTACAGAATCAGCTTTTGCTTATTCCCACTGAAATGTCCTTTTCACTCCATTTAATGGAGTCTGCAGTTCTTACTTTTGGTGTGTTTAGCAACAGATTGACTTAAATTTGTTGTATTTGGCTCTAGAGCAGCAAAGAGCAGATGTCAGGGAGGTGCCGTGACAGGAATAAAAAGATTCAGAAGGCTTGTGGGAATGTGGGGGGTGAGGGGGAAATCTTCCTCCTATTTTTTCCCTGCTAGAATCCATAATATAACATTTAGAGTTGGCATTCAGTTCAAAACTTGCTGTGCTGCAAGGGTTGGTACATTGACACAGGCATTCTTTCCCACAGCTCAAATTGTGGAAACAGCGTTTATTTATAAAATAAGATATGTGTGTGAAATTATAATTGATACCTTAATTATGGGGAACTTGCCTGAAAGATGGTAGCTTAGTGACCTGCAGGACGTTTTCCTGGCTTAGAATAGCCACAATTTATACTGAAATACTTTCTCTATATGAATCCTAAAAATGGAATTCCCTTGTCAAGGCAGAAAAACTTCAGTAACTGAAAGGTTCTCTGACAGGGATGATAAGCCTAAAATAACAGTCAACTTTTAAACATTATTTAGGATTGGAACATCTAAAAAATAACCTTTGTTATTTGGGGATTGTTGCTATTTGAAAAATATGCATTTAAAACCCACCACTACACGTTGCCAGTCTTTGCATAATCAGGTGGGTGCCAGATGTATATGGGGTCCTGGAGAAGTTTGTTGCTTTGCTTTATTTCTTTTCATTTTTGTAATGAGCAGAATGCTTCAAAAGTTAGTGGCTGCCTTTTTTTTTTTTTTTTAAGACTGGAAGTATTTTATCTTTGCCTTGATTAAGGGTCCGTTTCTGAAAAAACCTTCTGTAACTTTTTAGTTAGCAAAACAAGTAATCATTCTACTTTCTCACATAATTTTTTTTACTCATCTACCTGCGATTCAAGAATATATATTGCCACAGTATGGTTTATAGATTATTAAAACATAAATGTGATGTAATTTGCAGTAATTTTGGTTGCAGGTTGCTGTATTTGAAAGTTGTGCCAGTTCTCTGTTGTCTCACATGTATAATGATGTACTTAATACTTTGTGGAGCCTTTGGAATTTTTATTTTTTTTTCTGTAATAAAAAAGTGCTACTTATAATCTGGAGGTGAGGATAATAATAAATCTACTTGTCCTTGAGATGATGCTTCTTAATCTTGTATTAGTGTTTTAGAAAACCATGTTCCCTTCTGCTTTGGGTTATCATATTCCAGTGATGATTGTAGTAGCTTTTACCATTTTCAGAAGAGATGGGATTTGAAATAGAGGGAAAGTATCTTACTGTGCACTTAATCAGAATATAATGAAAAAGTCTGAATTTTTTTTTTTTAAAGCAATTAATATAGCAAGCTGAATTGTCAAAAGCATCGTGTGTATAAGATATGTAATGTACATGTTTGTTCTACTCAGGGCTTACAAAGTCATGGTTGGAGTATGCTATTCAGATCTGAGACCAAATCTTCCCATATTTTTTGCTGATGATCAATACAAATGCATTGCTAAAAGAAAACAGGGAAAACTAGCTTGCCTGTTAGCCATAGTATGTTGAGTTTCTTGGTTGGATAGCTCATTTCAGCAGCTTGCAAGTGACAAGCCTGGAAATAATTGTGGTCAGAGCTTCTTCAAGAGGATTGAGTGAAGTCTTTTTTATTTCCTAAGTGTAAAGAAAGCCAGGTTTGATCAACAGCTGCTGTGAGGGTTATCAAGACAGTGAGTAAGTGCAGTACAGTGCAGAATTTTGCACTTCTGACCAGTTTAGGGTATGTTCTTTTGCTTAAGGTTGGATGCTGAAACTGTAACAGAGTTTGGAGTGTTTGATTAGCATCATTTAAGTCTCCCCTGTACTTAATTTCTTCCATGTATTTTTCACCTGACTGTCAGATTCCTGTTTACTGCAGTGTCTAAAAGACTTTGTGACCTCATAAAGAAATGTTACGAAAACTGATAAATTATGAGTTCTGTATTTGAAGACTTCATTCTAGATCATTTAATCTTAAGTATTTGTGAAGTTTCTTTTACATGGTAAGATTTCACTTTAAAAGAAGCGTGAAACTGTAGGTTCCATTTAGGCTAGATCAAGATCTGCAACCTTCATACCCGTTTTATTATTTCATGATTTCATGCATGTATTAAACCTACATATATCTACTAGCATCCTGTGAAGATAACAGTATATTGCAAGGAGAGCTGGTTTTGAAATATTATTAAGGTATAATTGATCTGATTCACTGTAAAAGTTTTGAAACCTGTTTGATTGTGGTTTTGCATCAAAATCTTCAAAAACTTGGTATATAGTACTGATGTTCATTGGAAAGTGTTTGTTTTTTTTTTTTTTTTTTTTTTCAATTTTGAGACACAAAAGCTGATTTTCATGTTCAAGATTAAAGTAGAGCAAAATCTTTTATTTTTCTTTTTTGATTTAAAAGTCAAACTGCATTTAGAGAAATGCAGGTACCTTTGAAAGAATTAGTTAATCAACTTGTGAGAAGCAAAAAAATTCCTTAAACTAAGAATACTGCTAAGTTGATGGAAACTCCTGACTATAGAATTGGTTTGTTCTGCATATGTCTTCCTTTTTCAGGAAGCTGTTCATTTTGGAAGAAAGCAAACAAATAAAGAACTATAAAACGTTTATAAGAGAAGTTGTGGTGTAATGGGCTTTAACTGGACCATCAGAAATGCAAGCCAAGGAAGCAGAGTAATCTCTTGATTATGATATCTAATAATTTGCAAAGCATCTACCCTGTAGAAAACAAAAGGTAAAAAAAAAAATTATCATTTGGATAGTGGACTGTACCTATATACTATTGCAACTGCCCTGTCTTATCAGGGAAATAGGACAGGCTAAGTATCGCAGGTTTTATTTAACCCTGGGAGTTTTTGATGATGGAAGAAATACTAATTTGGGCAGTGTAAGCCTTTTTTTGTCTAAGTAGAATTATGTTTTAAAGTATGTGCTGTTCAATAATGAAAATAGTTTACTTATATTGTCACTTTATAATATTTCATACATGAAATACTAGAAAGACCATTTCCAAAACTGTTATTAATAACTGAAAGCTAATAGGTAAACTCTGAAAATTCGTATAGGTTAGTACTGCTTGGCACAGAATAGCCATGCATGCTTTCTTGAAGGATATTTACAGAGAAGAGTTGTTATTGAAGCCCCTTGCTTCAGTACTCATCTGTGAATGGTATAGTTACCTGATAATATAATCTTTGGCAATTATATTTAGAAAGCTGCTTTATATTGGGAAGGAGAAAATGTTTAGCATATATACTTGCAGTTAGGAAGAGACTGGGTGGGAATATCAACACACATACTAATTTGACTAATTGTGGATACCTCCAAAAGAGGAAATCTAAAGTTTCTGTTGAAATCTAGTTGTATTACAAATGATTGTATTAGGAAGCTTAATAATATTCAGAGGTAGTATTTTTGGAATTTACTTTTTGCATTATAAAGTGGGTTCACAGGCCCAAAATAGGACATTCTTTACTTTCAGGTTTCAAGTTAATTATATTTCTTTCTGAACGTAAG